CGGAGCATCTTCATGACTTCCCCTGGACTCACTCCAACAGCTCTATGTCCTCCTTATTCTGGGGGCAACCGTATGTTACAAACAGGAATAGTTTGGATCCTCCTGCCGTGGTGGAGGGAGTGGAACTAGATGAGCTTTCAGGTGCCTTCCAACCTAAATGGTTCTCTGATTCTATGCTATTTAACAAACAACATAGTGAGGCATTTCCTCAGCAAGTACTTACACCCTACCTCAAGAATTTGTTCCTCCACTTCTGAAATCAAACTCCAATCTTGTTCTACCCAGAAATATTTTTATGAGGAAAGTACAGGACAAGCATGAGAAAAAGCTTTTATGCTGGAAGAGTTATGAAAGAATAAGAAATAAACTATCGCTTTGGATTTAAATCACAGCTTTTTCTCCTGGCCAGTGGCTACTCCTCCACTAGATGTACAGGAAAAAATATAAATGTATAATATTTTTAGGTATACATTAAAAGGCACTATTTTTCTTTTAACACCAGAAGACTATTCAGATACTTCGTGCAATATTTTCATAGCATCTCTCCAAGTCTTTCCAAATGGGAAAGACTGAGGCTTCACCCCAAAGAATGCAAATGTCAGGGGCTTATTTCTTCAGTTTCTGAACAATCAGGGTTTAGATCTCTCCTGCTTATGGGACTTACTTCAGGCTAGGTCTGGGTGCAAGTGTCACAAAGAGGGGTATGCACCTGACAGAGGTGACTGTCAGAACAAAATACCTTAATTTCATTAAAAAAAAGAAAGAAAAAAAGATGTTAATGCCCTAATGCATGTACTGACGTGGGCCTGCCAAGTACCAGGCAGTGCAATAGCTTTTTCTCATTACTAATTCGGTGCTTGAAGATCATTTTTAGCTTTGGTTTCCCTACATATTCGATGAAACTTCTCAAGATGCTCAGTAAAACATAAACATGTTCTTAGTCACTGATAAACAAACAGGGGCTGACACTAAATGTGTCTAAGAATCATATTTTTTTCCACTTCACATGGAAAGTGTTCAAGGATTTTAAGAATCTGGTTTACTCTATGTACAGCAATTAAGTGGGTTTTATTAGAAAAACAAGATCTGTGAGAAGTTAACATACCTGTCGGTGCCAGTAGAACTACGGCTCCTCTTCTGTGGGGTACAAGCTGCCATGGCTCCCCCAGAGCGCCTACAAGAACATGTTTTTGATAGCATGAAATAGATTTCCAGTAAAAGCAAATAAACAAAGTAAAGAAGGAAGAGAAGACGTCGGACTGGGGTGAAAACACTGATAGAAGCAGTTTGGGACTGATGGAAACAAGAACACCAGGGGACTGTTTCAGTTGAGCTCAAGTTGTAAAACAAGCGCATACAGAAGGGATCTTCCAGGTCAAGAACAATTCTGTCACCATGGACCAACGGATCCTAAAGTCCCTTCTCTAAAACAGAGCCAGATATTTCAGAAATGTGTTTTATTTTCCTCTTGCAATGCTCACTCCAGACCTCACTGATGCAGTTCTTAGAAACCTGCTTGCTCCTTCCTATACCCAGTTTATTCCCACAGGGATTTCACATTGGCGTTCACCTTCCAGGGGAGCCAGCTGTTTACCAAACAGACTTTTAAAGTCTCTCTCCCACCTTCCATCTGGCCACATAACATAAACCACTCGTTTTTAGCCTTAATTAACCCAGTAGCCATTTAACCCAGTTTAACACTCAGCACTGTTTGTTCCATCTCTCCCAGTTTGAGATAATATCATACAATATTAACTTTCCCGTTACGTGGCGCTTTATAACCAAAAATCCAGAATAAACAAATACTTCGTATCCAGGAGGACTAAATAAACGTCCATAAACTGCTACAGCAGGAGGAATATATTCAACAATCTACCAGCAGGGGGAAGCGTTCACGCATTGCTGATACGTGGGCAGCAATGTCAGATGACAGCCCAGGCGAGACAAGCTGTTATCAAGCGCAGGAACACCAGAACAGTGGTGGGAAAGGATGAAGTCAAGAGCTGCAGCAGGAGTTGTACAACCTCAGCACAGAGCACCGATGGCAGAAGGGACTTGCAAGAGAGGGCAGGAAATGCCTCAGAAGCAGAAGGCAACAGTAACAAGCCTGCAAGTACCTGGGTAGTAAGATATCAGGTGCAGATTGAAGAGAAAAAGCAAGACAAGGAGATGCCGTTGGTGGGAGAGGCAAGGGGTACGTGTCAGGGGTGCAGTCATACACAATGGTTTAGGTTGAAAGGAACCTTAAAGCTCATCCAGTTCCAACCCCTGCCATGGGCAGGGACACCTTCCACTAGACCAGGTTGCTCCAAGCCCCGTCCAACCTGGCCTTGAACACTGCCAGGGATGGGGCAGCCACAGCTTCTCTGGGCAACCTGTGCCAGGGCCTCACCACCCTCACAGGGAAGAACTTCTGCCTAAGATCTCATCTCAATCTCCCCTCTGTCAGGTTAAAGCCATTCCCCTTTGTCCTGTCCCTACAGGCCCTTGTCAAAAGCCCCTCTCCACGTTAAAACTAATTCTAAAGGCTTCTATATTCCATTTTGTGATTTTGTGCCCATTTGTCTCACTTGTCAGCCCCTTTAGGCACTGGAAACTGCTCTAAGGTCTGCCCGGATCCTTCCCTTCTCCAGGCTGAACAAGCCCAACTCTCTCAACCTGTCTCCACAGCAGAGGTGCTCCAGCCCTCGGAGCATCTTCGTGGCCTCCTTTGGCTTTGTTCCAACTGCTCCACACCGTTCTTATGTTGGGGATATCCTTGTAACTTGCACTACAACCCCGCACATCCCACAGACGAGCAGCTGCCCATAGCCAGCCCCAGGGACACCCACCCCTTCCCAAAATATTCCCAATCTAGTTCCCAGCCAGCCCCTCAGCCCAGTTTTGCATCTGACCACAGATGCTATAGGCACCCTGCACAGCACTGGGGCACTAGCGCCTCAACCCTGCATTCCCCCCCCCCCCCCCCCCAGCTCTCCCACTCACCAGGACCTCGCTAAATCTCCTCCCAACCCCTGAAACCCCCTCCCCGCACCAGACCCCCCGCACCGGGGCCTGGCCCACTCTGCTACCCCATCACCCCCTCCAACCCACTAGCACCGGTACGTGGGGCCTGGCGCACCTGAGCCAGCAGCCTGGGACCCCACAGCCCTCACCCCCCCTACCTCCCTCAGCCCACACAAGCACCTCAGACCGCACCAGGCCATAACGCCTGCGCCCCTAACGCAAACCCCACACGTCGGCACAGCACCAAACCCGCCCCACACACCTGGAGCCCTTTCAAGGCGGCAGCCGCACACCCTCACCTCAGCGCCACCTCCGTTATTACTGCTCCCGCGCCTTCGAACCCGCGCGCAGTCTCCCGCCCGCCCGCCCTCCTCTCTCCATTCGCCGAGCTTCACGTCATTCAGCGTGAGCTTCACCGCCATTGGCCCAACTGAGGCGCGCCGCTTTGCACCCGCCCCCCACGCTTTCCAGCCAATCAGATAGCAGAGATAATCATAGCCACCTCCCCAGAAAGACTCCAACTCCCAGCATGCCCCGCGAGCAGAGCGCTGACTCGCTATGGCACTTCCGCGGGGGCTGATGGGCGTTGTAGTCCGTGCGCTGTGTCTAGACTCGGTCCGGCACATGGCCTAGACTCGGTCATAACAAGGAACGGAGTGAATCGGGAGGCATTTGCAAACGTTAAGGGGAAGGTTACAGCGGTGCCCAGCTGTGATTTTGCTTTTAAATGGGCCATCAGTGAAACTGATGTGGCCTATTGTGTACAAGGGGGTTGTCAAAATGTACAGGGGGGTTGTCAAAATGTACAGGGGGGTTGTCAAAATGTACAGGGGGGTACTGCTTAAGTCATAGCTGGTTTAACGAGCTCAGCAGATGTCTTATCAGACAAATACCAGAACAAAACCTCCTAGTGAGGAGAATGGGGGTTGTACAAGGAGTACTGCTTAAATCATGGCTGGCTTGACAAGCCCAGCAGTTGCCTTATCAGACAGCACTAAGATAAGGCTTCCTAGCGAAGGGAATAGCTCATTAAACCAGCTAGACATGGACCAGACCCATCCAGCTCCTAAAGAGCATGCGTGAGGACCAGAGGTAAAAAGTTCAAGCCTGAGGAAGACTCGTTTACTTCATCTTGAAGACCCCTACCCACAAGAGGAAGACTACTTACTTCATCTGAAGACCCCTGCCCAAGACCAGCAGGAGGCACTGCGCATGCGTGGAGCGCCTTTTAGCTCATTATAACACGAAGCGGGGATAGAATATGAATATGTATAGGCATATTGTGCGACCTAATACCTATGTATGACTTTACAGGATAAATGTAAAAGGAAAACAGCACTGAGGTACGCATGCCTTTTGGAGGACCAATCCCCCGTGCGTCTTCAGCTGAATAAAGCATACCTACTTTACAACTTTAACCAAGTTGTGGAGTCTATTCCGCTATCAATCAGGGCCCTGCTGTGAAGAGCTTAATTCACAAAGCCAAGGGAAGCTTCTTCCACTGGGTGGCACCCCCTTTCTCTCACTTCGCCGAGCGCCACCGCTTCCCCAGGCACGTTCTGAGAGCCATTTACACGCATCGAGAAAAAAATTAAAATAATATAAAGTAAAATTATATCAACCAAATGATACAGCGCCCAAAGCCACACACACCCCTCCACATCCCGCAACACACCGACGGAAGAGCTCCGCGCATGCGCGCACGGCGGGGTCCCGCACCAGCGTGCCGGTGTTCACACCGCGGACACCCTTGGGGAGTTCTGCGCAGGCGCAATGCGCTTTCTGGCTTCACCGCCATTAGCGGCTTGCGCATGCGCGTACAGCAGTAAACAGCCATATCGCCTTATTGCGCATGTGGGATCGTTCTGTGCGCATGCGCAGTCCTCACTGCCGGTCGCTGAGCGGTATTGGAGTGGGACACTGGGTGCCGAGTGAGCACCGCGCCGGGCTGGCCGGGCGGAGGAGCCGCCGCTGCTGTCATCATCATCATCATCATGGTGTTCTACTTCACTTCCAGCGGTGAGTTCGTGAGGGGAGGAGAGAGCGGCCTGTGGGGGGAGCGGGTGCCGCCGCTGTGAGGGGAGCGCCGGGCCTCGCCGCGCCCCCGACCGGTTCCTCAGCTCCTGCCTCTACTCTTCTGAGCGCCCCTGTTAGGTTTAAGGGAGCCCTTATGCGAGCCCACGGGCTGGACTGAGGGTAAAGGACTATGTCTGGATCGAAATTAGCCATAGGTTAAAGTGGTTTAGGAGCTGGGAGGCTCCCCTCGCTTAAGAACGGCCCAGCGGTGGTTGTTAACAGCCCTGAGCGAATGGGAGTGCAGTGAGTGACTGCTGGAAACCATGCTCAGGTGTGCTGCTGTTAGAAGTGTGAGGTAAGGTGTAATGTGTAAGTTACCTCATTACTTTACCTTTGACACAGACAGACCTGTTTGGTTTTTTTTCCCCATGCATAAAGTTTTGCTGATTCAGAAGCATCACAAATCTGGTTTATTGCAGCAGGGGCTGATGATACAGGGGATTGTGCAGAAATATTTCTTTTTGCTTTGGTCCCCCCATTCCCCTCATCATTTCTCAGAGTCACAGAATGGTTTGGGGTGGAAGGGACCTCAAAGCTCATCCAGTTCCAGCCCCCTATCATGGGCAGGGACACTTTCCACTAGACCAGGTTGCTCCAAGCCCCAACCAACCTGGCTTTGAACACTGCCAGGGATGGGGCAGCCACAGCTTCTCTGGGCAACCTGTGCCAGGGGCTCACCACCCTCACAGGGAAGAATGTCTTCTTCATCTCTAACCTGAGCTTCCCCTGTTTAAGTTTGAACCCATTACCTCTTTTCCTATCACTACCGTCTGTAATGAAGAGTCCCTCTCCTGCATCCTTGTAGGCCCCCTTCAAATACTGGAAGGCTGCTATGAGTTCTCTACACAGCCTTCTCTTCTCCAGGCTGAACAGCCCCAACTTTCTCAGCCTGTCTTCATATGGGAGGTGCTCCAGTCCCCTGATCATCCTCGTGGTCCTTCCATGGACTTGTTCCAACAGTTCCATGTCCTTTTTATGTTGAGGACACCAGAACTGCACACAATAGTCCAAGTGAGGTCTCACAAGAGCAGAATAAAGGGGCAGGATCACCTCCTTTAACCTGCTGGTCACACTCCTTTTGATGCAGCCCAGGATACGGTTGGCTTTCTGGGCTGCAGGCGCACACTGAAGCCGGCTCATGTTCATTTTCTCATGACCAACACCTCCAAGTACTTCTGTGCAGGGCTGCTCTGAATCTCTTCTCTGCCCAGCCTGTAGCTTCGGAAAGGAATGGGTCAGTGAGCAGTTTGAGATCCAGGTCATTTCACTGCCGCAGTTCTAGCACTGAACTGAAGCATGTCCTTTATTTTAGTGACTTTGAAAATAGAAGGTGAGACACCATTTTTTCCTGAGATGCTTTTTGGAGGCACATTTGATCACCTGCAGTTCATTTGTTTGGTCTGGGGAGACCTTAGAGCAGCTTCCAGTGCCTGAAGGAGCTAACAAGAAAGCTGGAGAGGGGCTTTTGCCTTCTCTTCCCCAGGCCAAACAAGCCCAGCTCCCTCAGCCTGTCTCTGTAGCATAGGTACTCCAGCCCTTGAAGCATCCCTGCAACCTCTGGAGTCACTCCAAAAACTCCATGTCCTTTTTATACTGGGGGCCCCAGAGCTGGATGCAGAACTGCAGGGGGAGTCTCACCGGAGTGGAGCAGAGGGGGAGAATCCCCTCCCTCAACCTGCTGGTCATGCTCCTATGTCCCATAATGGCACGAATGAAACAAAAGAATTTATGGAACATCATTCTTTCTGTTGTCTTGTGAATTTTAATCCTCTCAGGCTACCTGCAGGAGGTGCACATTGGGGAACTTCGTACTCTGTACAAAGTACTTTGGGGAAGCGAGGGCCAGGCAGGTGAGCTGGCTCCCTCAAGGCTTCACAGGTTGTTAATCCCAACTGTAAATATGCTCTCAGCCTTTCAGAGTCACAGATGTATGCTTAATTGAACTGATCATACAATTACACAGCTGTAATTGGAACTGCCTGGATTCTGAGGGTGTTTTGCCCAGAAAGCTGCTCCTTGCTGGATAATCTTCTGTGGAAATTGGTGGAAACACCCATTTCCAACATCTGTTGAAGCATGCGGGTTAAAATATGAAGGAAACACAAAACAATCTTCCTTTGGCTCCCAGAAGGGGAGGGGTGTGGATGGATGAAGCAGTTTCTAGTCTAGTGACCAACACCAGTGTTTGTCCTTCTTTGCACAGTTTCTCCAACCGCCTTTTGACTTGTTTTCCTCTTTCTGTCCCTTAGTGGTTCCTTCCGTTTACACCATTTACATGGGAAAAGATAAGTACGAAAGTAAGTGCGTTATTGTAATGATGCCAGATGGCTTCAGTTTATATTTGTGGGGATTTAAGGTCATTTTGAAAGGATGTCTTTGTATGTGTTAATTTGATATATTGCTTGAGTACTTGCAAGTGACTTACCCTACTGAAACCCACTGTGTTACTTTTAGTTAGGATAAATAAATGTTGTAAGTCCTGTAGGCAGAGTAACTTTTTTAAAATACAAGTGAAAACTATATTAACTGGAACAAAAATACCCATCTAGAGAGAAATGCTGTCTCCTCAGGTTGTGTGTGATCTTTTTGCAAACCAGCCTTCCATTTCCCTGCTCAGTCTGTATTTTTCCCCTCTCCAGTGAACATCTGTACTCCAAAGGTTTCCCATGCCCTCCTTTCTCTCACGGGGCAGGTTATGGTTCTGCCATGCTGCCTGGTTCGACATCAGTAGTTAATGTGAAGCTGGGTGTCTCACTCCAACAGGGAAGTGTTAGTGTAGCTGTTTTGACGACTTGCCCTGAAATTGTCTCCTTTCCCTGGGTGGATATTTGAGAAAGCATCTTTTCCCTTTAAAAACTCCCAGATGCTGAGGATGATGGAGGTGTTCCTGACATACCTGTTCCGGCTACACCTCTACCAGGCAGATGCAGGTTAAAGCCCTGTTCTCCCTCTGTTCAGTCATTGTGCAGTGGCTGACCAACAGCACAGGATTGCTCCTCTGCAGGTAGTTGGGTTTGTTGTTGGTTACATCCTGCACTTTGCTCACTGATACTTTTTTTCCTGCAGATGAAGACCTAATAAAGTATGGCTGGCCTGAAGATATCTGGTAGGTACCAAAACTCACTGAAAATAACTGCCTTTCATTATGCAACCAAGTGGAATAACCACCTTCTGGCTTTCTCAGGCAGTATGGAGTCTCTTTTTTCCAAGGCCATTCAGCAGTTTAAATGCAATCCCAGGGAGGAGGTGGATTGCAGCAGACCTGTGTGCAGCTGTTGGGACCCTGTGGATTCTGAATTCGTTCCCCTGCATCTTCCCCTCACCCCCCACTTTGTTTATCAGAAGAGCGGATCCCTTTGTGAGGCTTTTTGGGGTTTATCTGTGCATGGAGCTGCTGGAGGAGCAGTAGCCCCAGTAACTCCATAGACAGATATTTGTGTTTCAGAATATAGGTGCTAGCTTGCTGTCACTCTTACTGTGTTTGGGAAATGGGCAGAGCTAAATGAGGTGCTTGTAAGAGAAAACACCTCCTAAGTCACGCAAGAGTGGCAGCTCCTGAGTATCTCTGTGCACAGGCAAGTGAAAAAAGCAAAAACAAAAGGCCGGAGCGAGTGGAGGCAGAAATCAGGGAGTCCTCAGATGGGGCCTGGGACTGGGGCTGGAATGTTTTTGAGCAACCTATGCTACACCTAGAGAAAACTGTCCATTGCCTCCCAGTGCCTTTATCTCTGTATGTGGTTTGTGTCTCCCCTGTGTGCACTGCAGATAAGTGCTGGCCTGGGCTGTAAAACAGCCCATCTTGGGAGCTGGAATTGTGAGCAGGAGCAGAGGAGCTTGGTATTTTGATTCCTGATGGGTGAAAACTGTGTTTGCTCCTAAGCAAGCAGAGCCATGGCCAGGCAGGCAGAAGGAAGTGCTCTGACATGTGGGTTGGTTTTGGCTCCTAAGATGTCATCAGAGGAGAAATCCAAGAGGAGGGGAAATCTGATTCCGTTAACAGTAGTTGGTGGTATTTTTGCTGGCTGTATTAGTCCATAAAGTTACCAGAATGATAAGGTTTGTGAAGGAGTTGGCTTGCTTTCAGGTATTACTGCACAGAGCAGATGTGCCGTTGTGGCTACGCTCTCCTTTGCTAACAATATCTAACAAGAGTCACTCTGTGGATTGTTCTCTCGCTTTTCAGGGTGCCCTTGCAGGGATGAGCAGAGGTGTCCTGCTAGAACTGAAGCTTGAATAGTTAGGATCTGACACACTTGCCAGCTAACTGGCAAGGGAATCTTTTTTTTCTAGCAGAAGTGATTCTGCTGAGTAACACTTTGTTGTAGCAGTATCACACTCATTTTCTGTCTCATGTTTGTCCAATCACTACATAAGGTTTGTCTATACTGTAATTTAGGAGTAACCTTGAGATTCATCTTCCAGTTCCCTGAGCCATAAAACTCATCTTTCCCCGTCTCTCCCATATCTTGTTGCTCACACCGATATCCACGTTAGTGTCCCCAGAGCCTTCTCTTCTCCAGGCTGAACAAGCTCAGCTTTCCCTTCGTAGCAGAGTTGCCCTCAGATCATCTTTGTGACCTCCTCAGGTCTCGCTCCAACAAGTCCACTTGTTTCTTAAAGGATAGGTTCTGACTCCCTTGTCTGTTTTTAAACATTTATATCATGAACATATGTAGAGTTCTGGTATCTGTGGAGTGGTTGTATTGTCACTTACTGGGAAGTAAATCTTTCATAACAGATCATCTCTTACCATCTGTTAAATATACTTTTTGTTTTTATTCTGTAGGTTTCATGTGGATAAACTCTCCTCTGCACATGTGTACCTTCGGTTACACAAGGTAATCCTGTGGCACATATATTTAAAAACATTAATATTCACCTGCCTAAAAACTGCACGTTCCCGTTTTGCAGTGATTCCTTGCACAAGACCATCTTAGCTCACATGAACCATTGAAATCTGCAGGGTTCCCTGAGGGTGCAGGTAACAACGCATGTGGGGAGACTGAATTTGTAGCTTCCATTACCAAATAATGTAGAGAGGAGCAGGAGTTCTCACATGGCCAGACAACAGTTGATTTTTGTCTTGACACCGAGCATGTGTTTAGGTGTGTCACCCCATTAAAACGTACAATGCCTTTGCACTAGGAAGAGAGAAGCAGGGCACAAATTACTTGAGGTGCTTCAAGCCTCTCCTTTCAAATCACAGAAGCACCAAATCATAGAATGGTTTGGGTTGGAAGGGACCTTAAAGCTTACCTAGTTCCATTCCCCCTTGTCGTGTCCTTACCTGTCCCTAGCAAAATCTTCTCTCCAGCTTTCTTGCTGACTTTTTTAGGTATTGGAATGCCACATAAGGCCCCAGTCTTGTAAAACATGGAGTATAGGGGTTCTGGTTTTGTTTGCAGAGCATCATGCCCTACTTCAGGCTTTCATGTGCTCATCAGTCCCTACAGCCCCTTGCTGCATGCTGCTCATGTTGCCTTGCTCTATCACAGGGGCAGACGGTGGATGACATTCCTAAGGAAGTTTTGATAGACTGTGCCCATCTCGTGAAGGCAAATAGCATTCAAGGTAACACTGATTCCTGCTGTGAGGTGTTTGTGGCAAGTGTTTCTGGTCCACACGAGCGTCTGGTTTTTTGGACCTTTCCACTGCAGTGCTCCCTGTTAAACCTGGGAAGCAGATGTCACTGGCAGCGGCCGGGGCTGCCCATGAACCCTTCGTAAGGAGGAATTTAAAACAGCTGAAATTCCTGTTTGTGCCTCCATACTGCTGCCTGAGCCAAGGCGGCCTCGCAGGCTCCTCTCTAACACCACCTTGGGGCCCCCTTCCATAGTAATCACTCTTCTGGCAAAGGCAGTCTCCATCTGGAGTTCATTAACACTGCTGCAGCGCTCATGTTACTGCAGAAAATGATGTTGTGGTGTTCTTCTGTTTCACTGTAATGCTGGAAGGACTTCTTAGTTTTCTTCTTTCTTGCCTAGCTAGTAGTGTTTGTGACAAGAATAACTGCCAGGGTCTCCATGCACACGGAAGACTTTTAAGGCTCTCAGCTGAGAGAGAATTGAAATGTTTCCCTTCTCCCCTGCTTCCTAGGTTGCAAGATGAACAATGTCAATGTGGTGTACACACCGTGGACTAATCTGAAGAAGACTGCAGACATGGATGTGGGGCAGATTGGCTTCCACAGGCAGAAAGATGTAAGTGTATGCTATATACCAGTGACAGGGACCTAGTGGCAGACTGTGAGGAGCTGGGTGCATTGTCTTCAATGCCCCCTAAAGGGGCAAACTTTTAAAGCATAAGAGGGATCTTTGGAACATGTTTGGGTTTACCTGAACGTACCTGAAGATTCAGGGTTGAGTGTTAGCCTGTAGCAGAGTGTAGCCTGTACACGTGTGTTTCCAAGCTGCAGTGTAGCTGAGGAGTCTTTGCTGATGCCAAATGGTATCACGTGTTTGAGTTTGCTCCCACTGAAATCATCTCTTCCTGCGGATGAGGAACCTGTGTATGAGCAGTCAGTTTGGGTCAGCTTATTGGCAGTAGTATAATGACACGTCTGGAAGGGGCCAGGACTTGTGCCCGCTGTGCAGAAGAGGGCTCTGCAGGGTCCCCTCTGTAGGGAGGTGTCTGTTGCTGTGTTTGCTCTATGGTCTCTGCTCCAAGAGGTGTCTCACCCTGGTGCTGCCTCTGAATTTGTTCAGCCTGTAAAAAGGCGGAGCTGCTTGCTGCGGGGTCAGGCCAATGTGCTGAGCTCTTCCCAAGCCTGATCTATGGTCCACAGATAATGTTATCCTTAAACTGTAGTTCTGTAGATTGGCTCCTGGGAGAGGAGGCTCCCTAGAGGTGCAATCGTTCAACTAAAACGAGTCAGTACTAGGCCAAGGCATGCTAAAAACCCTGCAGTCAACAAGCAACATGTGAGCTTCTCTTCCCAAAACAGTCTGCAAAGACCTCCTGCCACCTCTTGAGGAACTTGCAGAGACCGGTTCTCATTTCTAGGCCTCTATTGAGGCATGTGCCAAGAAACAGAATTAGTAATGCTTATGTACTTAGCAATGGTTCTGCTTATTAGCTATGTGCTTCTGAGTGTTGGGAGTGGGCCTCTTTGCTGTTACACAACCTGTTGAATAGCCCTCAGTGGCAGGGCTTTTCCTCAGCATCTGTTTTTGTGGAATGAAGCGATGTGTAAAGTGGAAATAGGGTGTTTTCTTTCCGCTGAAAAAGTGCCAGACTAGAAGTATTTTTTTATAAGGATCATAGTTCTTTGCACTCCAAAGGTGAAAATGCTGACAGTGGAGAAGAAGGTGAATGAGATCCTGAACCGGCTAGAGAAGACAAAAGTGGAACGCTTCCCAGACCTGGCTGCTGAGAAGGAAGCCCGCGACAGAGAGGAGAGAAATGAGAAAAAAGCCCAGATCCAAGAGATGAAGCGGAAGGAAAAGGAAGAGATGAAGAAGAAGAAAGAGCTGGAAGAACTTAGGTTAGTAACGAATTTTAGTGCCAGCTTCTCAACTCCCTCAGTTTTCATTGCTGCTGGGAGAGAGTCACGGGTCAGCAGTTTCTGTTTAACACTGGCCCAGCATTACTCAGTGTTCAGCTGAGCTGCTCTGGCTGAGATGTTTGCATGGCCCAGTGATTTCCTTTGTCTTTGGAATAAATGCGTTTTCATAGAATCCTAGAATAGTTTGGGTTGGAAGGGACCTTAAAGCTCATCCAATTCCAACCCCCTGTCATGGGCAGGGACACCTTCCACTAGATCAGGTTGCTCCAAGCTCCATCCAACCTGGCCTTGGAACACTGCCAGTTTTTTCCATTTCTCCTTTTAAAATAAACCAGGATTTTAAAGCATTGTTAAAGGAAAGGGCTGTGTCTCTTGAAACCTGTCCCTAACTTGGGTGAAATTGGGCAAGCGCTTGGCTCTCTGTCACTGGGATGGGAGCAATTGCTTCCAGCTTTGTGTGAGCCTTGGAAAGCACTGAGCTTTCACTACAGTTCTTCAGCTTTCTCTTGTGTCACTTGTGTTAACTAAAACATGCTTGAGTCCTCAGTCACACACTCCTTTAAACGCAGAATGAAGGATGGTGGTTTGAAATGTCATATTGACCTTTCTGTAATGGAATCATAGAATCACAGGATGGTTTGGGTTGGAAGGGACCTTAAAGCTCGTCCAGTTCCAACCCCCTGCCACGGGTAGGGGCACCTTCCACTAGACCAGGTTGCTCCAAGGCCCGTCCAACCTGGCCTTGAACACTGCCAGGGATGGGGCATTCACAATTAGCCCAAAAGCATGAGGTAGGTGAATACTTGTCTAGCCTAAGTTCAGAAGGGACAGCAAATTTGTTTTTCTTCTGCTTGGTCCTGTTTTAGCAAAATGCCTCTTTGTTGGTGGGGTTTGAAAACATGTGATGCAAGATAATGTAATTTCCCTTCCAGAAGCTACTCATCGTTAATGAAGGCTGAGAACATGTCCTCTAATCAGGTAAGAGCTGGCTGATGCCTGCAGAAACCTTCTGGGGACAGCTGAAATTCAATGCATGATCGGGACGATACAGCTCCCGCATTGCAGTCTGGTGCTGGTGACTCCTGTGTGAGGGATCACATCTCCATCTTCCCTTCTCAGTGAAGGACATTGCTAATGTAATCCTCTTTCTGAGAAGCTCTTATTGCTTTTATGCCAGCCAGGAGGAGCAGGTGCTGCTGGAAATGCGTGTAAAGTCCTCCCAATCCCCTTCCCACCCAACTGAAATAACATAGAGAGCTTTAAGTGCAGCACCAGGCTTGAGTCCACTTTTGAGCTGGTTGGGCATAACCGGGCTTGTGGGCTGAGGAGATCTTCCTAATGGCAACCATTACCTGCATATCCCACCTTGTTATTTCAAGACAATGGGGAAAAACACACTTTTTTAACAAGAAATAAGCTGGAGTTGTAAAGACAGAAGTTTGGGGAGGAATGAAATAGGTGCTGAGAAGTAGAAGAGGAAAGGTGGAAGGGGGATGTCCTTGCAGAGGGCAAGCACCCAGGACTGGAGCAGAATAACATGGCTGCCCTGCAGTGGTGGAAAAGGAGCCAAAGAGGAAAGAAGCCCAGGCCAGTGAGAGGAAAAAGAGGAGGTGGAGCAAAGGAGAGACAGGGGCTGAAGTTCAGAAGAGGTCTTGGTGTGCAGTGGGTTTGCCTGTGCTTTGCCCAAGGTCTGGCACATCTGCAGCATCCTCCTTGGTGTGACCTTGGGCAAACAGATCTTGGAGCTCCTCTGAGTGACCCTCAGTTTAAAATCCACCTTTTGCAACCTAGTCCTTGACTGACTGCTTAGAGGGGTGTGTGGCTTTCAAGAACTCTTCATTTTCCTCCTGGTTAGCACAGAGATCCCCTTTGAAACTTGAACTGGGTTGAAGTATGAGCATCTCCTGACATGCCCAAGTGGGCTGTGCCCAGTTGGTGACACTTGCCAGGGAGAAGCATGGTGGAAATGCTGTACAGGGAGGTCTCCTCCTTGCAGCAGTCACTCCCCATGTGATGCCAGACTGTTTTCCTTCTCCCATGTTGGGAAGAAGCTCAGGCTGGGATATGGGGATGGTCCATGAAGCTGACGGGTGAGAGGTTCTTTGTAGATCTCAGCAGATGAGAGGATATGCTGCAGGGACAGCAAACAGCAACTGCTGTTTCACAATCAGGGCCTCGCTTAGGGCTGTTCCCACTCCAGAGCGGCTGTTGTACAACTGTTTGCTCTGATTTCACGGTGTTCATACTGAAATGCCAGGAAACCAGAATAAATGGGAATTCTGAAATCCTGCTAAATATACTATTTCACCATTTTCCACTGTAATGTGCACAGTGATCCTGATTTGTCTTTCTTCCCACAGGATGGCAACGATTCAGATGACTTTATGTAAATAAAGTCTCTCTCCTTTCTCAATCTTGAGGTGGTTTGGGATGTCTTAATATGTCATCATCGCTAGGAATGCCAAAAAATATCCCCAAAGTGAACTCTGGCTCCGTTTCTTCAGAACCTGGTTGGTTCTCCTGGCAGCCTAAGCAGCTCTGTGCCACGGACACCTTCAGAAAGGAGATCGATATATCTGCATGTGCATCTCTGTTTCGGGGACATGGGTGGAAGGAAGCAGAATTGACTTTCAGTTCTACAAAGACAATGGTATTTATTCTAAGGAAGGGGTTGTGTAGCTTTTAATCCAGTGAGATTTAAAGAAACAGAACCAAATCCATGTTGTCTCACCACTGTCCTGGCAGCTGAGTGACTCGGAAACGGTTGCCATTTGCTCGGTGTCACTGGTATGTACATGAATGTGGTGCTGCCGATCAACTCTCCTCTTCACACTGTTGGTGGTCAGCAAAGCAGGATCCCGCTGCACTTGGGGGTGTAAATTTGGACGAGGTGATGCAAACTCTCCCAGCCCTGGGAGGGGGCTCCTTGTTAAATACAGAGCTCCAGATGATGCTGAGCTTGGCTGGTGTTGCAGCCGACCTGCATGACCACAGGCTGTGATGTGCATGGTTAGCACAGAATGAGAATAGCCCCACAGTGTGTTTTCTTTGAGTTACACTTGATTCTGGGGCTGTTCTTTGGAAGTCTTCTCTGGAGAATGAAATCAGTGGAGAAGAGTTGAGTTTTGTGCAGTGTCTATGCCTGCCCAGGCCAGAGCTCTTTGAGCGCTCTGGAAGGTTTCATGGCCCAGTCTGTATGAAACGGTCACAATAATCCTCACAGCACCTGTATATATGTCACGATTAAATTCATACCATGCTGATAAAACATGCTGCTAGGTGGTAGTGTGCTCAGGCCTCTGAGAAGGAGCGGTGAGGCTCTGGAGAGTGTCTCCTCAGGCAGCACAAAGCTGTGCAGAGCATGGCTGTGCTGAGAGGGGACAGCACGAAGCTGCCAGAGTCTGGTTTTGCGGCGTGTTTCTGGATGCTGCAGTCTCAGTGGGGCAGGAATTACAGGAAAAGAATGGTTCCTGGCAGCAAAAGGGAAGCGTGCCTTAACAAACTCAAATCTTAACCATCTCATCAGAGAATTACTGAATTAGTGGAAGAGGTAAAACCTACCCTACTGCAAGGGCAAGTCCCAGTAGTACTGCACTTAAAGTTGTCTTCCCAGCATCAACCACCTTCCTCTTGCATCCTGAGGGTTTGAGTTTGGGGCTGGAGAGAGCGAGGGAGTCGAGATCCTCATCAGCCCCCGCCTCCTGGGAGGAAGAGGATGGTGAGCTGTGTGTGCATCCTCTTGCTGCTTGTGTCCCAGCTTGGACTGACCTGAACCTGGGGTGGCTCCAGCTAATGCCACCCCAAACTCCACTGTGTCCCACCTCCTTGGACACTTGCCATGCAAACTGGCCGAGGGCCTGGGGGAGATGGAAACCATTCTGGGGCTGATGGGGAAACTGAGGCACGGTGCAGCAGCTGGTTTTCCTTTCCCTCCTGACTGTCCCTGGCAGAGGTAGGAGAGAAACTAGGGGTCCTATGGGGCAGGGTGGGGGGTGAGGAGCTAGAGGTGGGGACTCTTATCTCCCCCTGCAGACTCCCCACCATGGGGCCTCCCTACTTGCCATCAATGGGCCCTTTCACAGCAGGAGGGTGTTGGCTGGTGCCAACGACCTGACCGCTGTGCTGCCATCAGCAACGCCCGCGGCCACAGCCCTACAGCTGTGAAGTGTTGTGCTTGGCTCTGGTGCCCGACAGTGGAAGCCGATGGGAGATGTCCCCTGTGCATGGCTGCTGCGAGCTGTGTGTCCCCAGGCACCCTGTGCGGTGATGTCCATGAGGCTGCATGTCCCCAAGCACCCTGTGCATGGATGTCTGGGGGGGCGGGGGTGTCCACAGGCACCCCCTGTGTGGCTCCCCGTGGGCTGTGTGTCCTTGGACACCCTGTGAACTGATGTCTGTGGGGTTGTGCATCCCCAGGCACTCTGCGCCTCAATGCCCACGTGCTGTGTGTCCCTAAGCACCCTATGCATTGACACCCATGTGTGTCTCCAAGCACTTTGTACATGGTTGCCCTGTTCATCCATGCCCATGGGCTGTGTGTCCCCGACCACCCTGCACAGCCCTGGCCACCCTGCTCCCCTCCATGCTCACTCCATGGGCCGGCAGCCACCAAAGCATCACCCCTGGAAGCCGAGCGGCCCCAGTTGCCATCAGCACTTCCTGCCCATCCCTTCCCAGCCACCGCTCCTCGTCCTCGTTTATTTATTACTCCTCCTGCTCCCAGCTCTGAAACCCTATCACCCACCCTCGCCCGTGCCTCCGGAGGAAAATCCTGCCCTTGCACATTTTTCACCCCTCCACAAACACTGGCACTGCCCAGTGTTATGCTGAGGCTGCTTCCCAGGCCAGGGCTGCGCTGGCTTTCCTTTGCTTTCCGCAGACACAGGAGGTTGGGAACGGGTGAGGATGTTGGGGTGGGGGTTACAGCGTTGGCCAGGCCTGGTGGCTTGGGGGAAGCTGAGGCATGGATGAGGCTCTGACTCCTCACATCCTGCATTTGGCTTTCTGCTGTCCCCTGGAGCAGGATGATCGCAGCCATTGCCCAGAGGCCTATCACCTTTGCCCCATCAGTGTAATGAGCTGTCAGGTCTCTGCTCCCACCACCCCCTGCTCAGAGCACCCCACTCCTCCTCGTGTCGCCTTTCCAGCCACAGCAGCTACAAGCCAGGGCTGGGCCCGCGTTGACCTGTGTTCATAACCAGCCCCAGGCTGTTCCTGTAATGAAAACAGGAAGCTGCTTTGCCAACAGCAATAAACCACCCGGACGGATGGCCAGATCCTGTGCCCCGGGTACAGGGGAGCGGACACAGGGTTCTTATCCCCAGTGCCATGATGCTGTAGGCACTGCAGCCCCAGCTCGGGTACCTGGGGCCTCCAGCCACCCCTGCCCTTGTTGAGGGGTGAGGTGGGGAGCGGGGACCCCATCAGAGACCACATTGCACATGGCACATATGCACACACACCTACAGGCATCTGTGTGCACACCTGTATGTGTGTGCTGTGCCCACATGTGCCCATGCAGCCTCACTCGTGCCGTTTCTCACTCATGCACTTGCATGAGCACGCATGCAGGCATGCACATGTGAGCACGCTCATGCACATGCACACTCACTCATGCTCACTTCCTCTTGCACGCATGAGTACAACGCACTTCACCCCACTTGCACCCCACCACCAGCACCAGTTTGGCTGTGGTTACTTCCCTTTTTCCCCCCAGCACAGGAGCCGCCTGTCCCCATACAGCTTTATTGTGCTGTGAGTACACTGGGGACATAGCGAAGGGTCTGTGGGGCACATAGGTGGCTGGGGTTGGGGGGGAAGGAAGGGCACAAACCAGCTGCACCCCGTCCCTCAGGGCCCCCCAAACCAGAGTGGGGAATGGCCAAGCCCAGAGCTGGAGCATCCCTGAGAGCTGGAGACCAGCACCAGACCCTCACCCAGGGGGACACCCCTCTGCCCCCCGTCCTGTGAGGCTCTGCCTCACACCCCTGCACCGAGGGCTGCTTGAGGGTCAGCAGTGGGGATCCCCCACCCCACCATCCCGGTGCCCTGGCTGGCAGCAGGCTGGTTACTGTCCTGGGGGGCCAGGGGGGCCCGGCAGCCCTGGGGGACCCCGCAAACCGGGGTCTCCTTTGGGCCCCACCGGGCCGGTCTGACCCACAGCCCCGGGGGTCCCGGGGAGCCCCGGTTTGCCCTGTGGGCCGCGGGGTCCCGCTTGCCCTGGCACCCCATCTGGTCCGGGGGGACCGGGGTCTCCCTTGGGTCCACCCTGTCCCTGGGAGCCGGATTGCCCGAAGCTGCCCTTGGCACCCTTGAGGCCAGGGAAGCCCTTCAAGCCCAGGGGCCCCCTCTCGCCCTGGGGGCCGGGGGGTCCTGCAGGGCCGGGGGGTCCCTGTGGTCCCGGTGAGCCCAGGCTGCCCACGTCGCCCTTCTCTCCTTCGCTTCCTGGGGGGCCCTTGATGCCCATGTCACCCTTGAGGCCGCGGGGGCCCGGGAGGCCCGGCACACCTGGGGGGAGAGGAGGGGGTTAATAGGAACCATGGGGAGAGAAGCACCCAAAAATGGGGAGAGCAGGAGATGCCCCAACCCTGCAGAGCTTGCTGTGGGCTGCGGGGACAATTGGCACTGCATGGGGGGCACGGTGCCATGGGACCACCACAGGGCTCCCCCTAAAACCAGGACCAGGAACAGCTAGGCTAGTTAATTGGGGCAGCCCTATAAAGATGCAGATGTGGTTGCCTTATGGGTCCAGGCTGGGTGGTCCACGGTGGAAAGGGAAGATGCTGTGGGCTCTGTGGAGCAGGGGCAGCCACACTCACTCCCCTGGGTGGATGGAGGTGTCCCCAGGCCACTGCAGGAAGCTTTGAGGACCCTTGTCAAACAGCAGCTGTGCCCTTTCCACTAGGACCAACAAGAAGTGTCACTGGCCAGCTGTGCTGGATGGACATGGGTCAGGCTCTTACTGTCCCTGTCCCCCACGCAAGTTCATAGAGCTCCATCCCAAGACACTTCTGCATCCATGAGCAAGTGTCTGGGTGCCTTCTTGCACATCCCAACACTGCCTTGGCCTCAGCAATGGTGGTTTGGGTCCTCCACCACCTGCCTTGGGTACAGGATGCTCCCAAAAAGCCAAGAGCCCAGCATGCTCAGACACAGAAGAAGCAGCCCCCAAGGTTGCCTGCCCAACATGCCTGGCTCCAGCCCATCCCTGGGCAGGGCTTAGGCTGTGCCCCCTAGGATTATAGAATTATACAATGGATTGGTTTGGACAGGACCTTAAGATCACCTTGTTCTAACCCCATGGACCCCAGGCAGGGACACCTTCCACT